AAATCCAGCTCAAGAACAGAGCGAACAAATATTTTACGACAAAACTGACAGCCTTACTGCAGCAATAGAACTACGTTTAAAGATCTAAAACAAAAGATAAATTTCAGCGCCAATTTACACACTGAAAGACTTGTAAAATCTTGAATTTGACAACTTGTTTAATACCCTAGATCTTTAAGAAACATGAAAACGTATTATCTACTGTTGGATTTCTAAACATACTGATATTAGCTGTAACAAAAAGAAAAAACAAAAAGCTGTAACAAAAAGAGCCAAAGTTTATCCTACACCACACGTGTACGAAATAAAGATTCCATATGTTGAGTTAAAAAAATGAAATAAATCAACATGTAATGTACACTTGGCGTATGTAATGTACATTTGCAAAACATGCTCTGCAGCATCATGACTAAAGTGCAACATTAAGCACGGATATGGTATCATGTCTATCCTATGCAGGATATAAATACTTGACCCGTGTATGTATCATGAAAGGCGATCCTCGATCGAAATGAATGCCTATCAGTTTCCGCCGAGAGCAGAACGGATTCTTGAAGGAGCTGAATTAGGACGTATCTAAAGATAAAATAATTTTATTTTACAGGAATGAGGATTTTATAACAAATTATGACTGGTCATTTGTAATATATAAACAGTTTCATTTTATGTATTTCATACCATCTCATCATTTAAAATAGTGCTGTACTTCACAGGGACAAAGTAACGTTACTCAGAAATGTTAAAGTTTATTTATTTAAAATATTATTTGCTCCTGTAATTATTGTGTTAGTCGGTGTATTTCTTTTATAGCCTTACTGGCTTTATTCTGGCGTAGTTTCCCTGAATTATAAGTACGGATTCAGTTAAAGGTTTTTGATCCAAATATGTTTATTTCCACAGTATACACCATTCTTACTTCAGCACTGGTTTTGTAATGTCATGATTAGTTCTGCCTCTGTATAATTCCGTTTCTGATATCATGAAATGCATTCCGGTTACTTAAAAAAAATCCATTTCAAAGAGTTTATATCTATTTTGGTGATTATCAATTCATTTCTGGTAATTTTTAGTTTATGTTAGTACTTCAGTATGCCCATTTCTATGAATATGAAGTCTGCTGCCGTGTTTAAAAGCTCTATTTCGATGAGTGAAACGATTTTTTCGTTTGATAACTGCACATATCATTTTTATGATAATTGTCTTCTTTGTTTCAGTAAATTCGTGTACACCATCATCATCATTAATTAGCCCTTTCGTGCAAATGCTTGGTCAGTGATTTGAATTTTTAACATAGATTTAAGAATTTACCAGTCATGTCGCTACAATGTCTGTGGTGGAACAGTTTGTAAAGACGTCTAGCATTGGGGATTCATGCCGCAGACACGTAGCACGATGTTAAATCCAGTATCTTTATCCTGACACCAGGCTGATCAGTCCTAACACTAGCCTCTTAATGCTGAGTGTCTGTGTCAGCCGAGGATCGAACCCGCGACCTCTGCGTCAGAGGTGGATGCTCTAACCTCAAGGCCATCGGAGCGTTCCTGCATATGCTTATATATATATATATATATATATATATATATATATATATATATATATATATATATATATATATATATATATATATATATATATATATATATATATTGGTCTACAAGTAACGATTTTCAAAAGACAGAATGAGCGCATTTGAATTTGAAGGCAAATACCGTTTATGAAAATTATATGTTTACAATAAAGACATTTATTCAAACGAGCATTAAGTCGCCTTATTACACTATAATGGCGATTGGATTGGGTGGGGTGCGGTATACAGTGATATATATATATATATATATATATATATATATATATATATATATATATATATATATATATATATATATATATATATCATATATCATATATTACACTTCCTAACATCCATGTAAGGACCTCAGGGGAACTGTAGTTTCACGGACTGTCGATTCCTGAGTCGTCAAGTCAGTTCGTCAACACTGGTTTCAACAACGTTAACCGGATTCAGCAAAAACTATACACAACTGAACCGCATAATATATTAGATATACTCTGAGCCAGTGTTAGTACAAACAGCATAATTAATGTTATGTATGCATGCACACATGATCGCTGTAACGTACTGGTGCTACTAGAGAGTTCCCGGAAGGGGAAGACTCAAGCTAGAATTTTGGTATGGACCTACATTGCATTGGTCTATTTTAATCTCTATTGATTCAGCTCAAAGTAGTGTGTTAAATTAGAATACCTACTATTATTTATTAATTTTACAACTTTTACTATATTTAAAAAGTTAACAGATTTTTTTCGAGAGTGTGGTGTTGAAGATGAGGCTTGTTTGTGTTGTTATTGCTGTAGGGTTTACCGTTTTTTTTCAACACCGGATAGGCTATACAATATAACTAGTGGAGGAAGAAGCACCGACCCAAGAGAATCTACCGGCAATCTTTCTCAATTGCTCACGCTAACTAAGACTGAGACTCGAACTCTTCCAGACAGAGGTGCGATGGCAGTGATCCAGACATGGTAGGTCATTAAAACTGTTCTCTAGATGGAACAACCATTTGAAACTACATTACATCAAAGTTTCATACATGAATATTTTTACAACAAGATGAATCACATGAGATTATAAACATCAAGAACTTCATTTCTATTTATAAATTCTGTAATTCAATCCAGCTTATAAATTCAACTCAAACCGGGACTGTAACATGGAGGAGACTATACTAAACCTGAAAACAATGAGTTGCGTTAATGTTTCCAAATCTAAAGGAATGTTTAGGTACATTCAGATAAAATAAGGAATCAAATTATTCTATAAAATGCTAATAAGACTAAGAACGAAATAAGTCTATAATAAGTATATACCCCAACAGGTATGCTAACCTCGTGACAATGCTGCTATACAGTGTAACTAAGCAAGCATATGTGATGTGGTGTGATTTGGATTTTAAAACAGCTTTACAAAGTTGTCAGTCATATTGCAACGATGTCTTCACTGTAGCAGTATATAGTGATGTCTGTCTTTTGGGCATTATGCCGCAGACATGCAGCATCATGTTCCACCCGGTGACATTATTTTGATACTATGCCCATCAGTCACAGCTAGAGCCTTGTAATGCTGAGAGTCAAGCGACGCAGCTTCTTGTACCATTTTGTAAAAGTCTTTGGTATGATTCGGTTGGGGTTCGGACTTGCTAAACTCCGCATCCTAGGATGCCGCTCGAACCAATTAGGCCACCGAAGTGGTCAAGACGTAAACTTTCTAACTCTGAATAACTATATAGATGCAGTAAAGTACTACACTAAAATATAGTATTAGAAAATACATGAATGTCAGTTTACAGGTACAAAGTTTAGGATGTACGTAAATTTTAGCTTTCAAAACAAAAAGCTAGTATAATAATATATTCAATATTAAAAACGTTTTATAACAACCTACATTATATACATAATATACATGCGACCCACATTTAATATAGGATTACACACATAAAGACCAATATTTTATATATATACAATACACTTTCAAATGTTTTGTATGGGCAAGCATGCAAATGGAAACGATAGTCTAAATTGATATTCAAACTTGGTGCATTAAAACTTCAATCAAAGTGAGAAATATGGGTGATGGGATAAACAGTATAATAACAATTTATAAGAATGCAATTGACATTATCAGATAACATTTTACTTTTATTTTTATTAAGTTTTAAATTCTTTCAAATTGTGGTAATACTTGTCAAGGAACAGAGCTATGGTAATTCATGTCCGGTAAAATAGCTATAGTAATTAATGATAGCTATAGTAATTAATGTCCGGTAACATAGCTATAGTAATTAATGTCCGGTAACAGAGCTATGGTAATTAATATCCAAGAACAAGACTTTGATAATTCATGTCCAATAACAAGGCTAAGTAGGCCACTCGACTGTCATAACCCACAGTTGTCTTTAGCACAAATAAATGAGACATACACCACGAACGTAAAGTTTAATCAGAAATAATGCAGTCAACAGCATTATCATTACTACTGATAGCTAGGTGAAATACTCTCTTTAGATAGCTATTTGAAGCGTGATTTGTTTCGATTCCCTACAAGACATTAAACTAAATGAAAAGTCAGATGTAGATAAGTATTGAGATAAGAGTATATATACTGTGGACATTAAGCGAGAGTTTAGTGAACTTTGAGGCCATTGACTATTATTAGACTTATTAGACTATATTTTTCTTTCACATATACGATAAGTAACTAAAAAGCATTTTTTCAGAGACTAGAGAGAGAGAGAGAGAAAGAGAGAGGGGAGGTTTCATTGCCTGCTATCTACAGATGTCACTTCCTTTAATTATTTACAACACCTTCATAATTCTCAGCAGTTCTTTGTTCGACCACGTTGCAGCTAAAGTTCATATTTTACTGTTATGAGTCAAATTCATATAAAAACCTTTTTTTATATCGATAACGTAAAACTGATAACATGGAAGAAATACCAAATAGTACAAAAAGATAGCATAGAATAGGTGATTTGTTTTCAGTACGTGTTCCCTGCCAGCCATATTATTGCTGCATAAATTGTATCAGACATAGGTTTAACATGCTATGGATAGTCGGAACTACATTATCCTTTTGGGAAGGCAGAAGTAGGTTTTCCCATAGTTGCTATGAATGTTATCACATGAGCAATACTTGCAAAAGCCGATAAAATCTTTGAAGGTAGATATGTGATAAAATCAAGAGACGCGCAACAATGCTGTGTTCAGTGCTGTATTTATCGCTTGAGATAATCATGGATGTTATATATAATTGCACTGACCTGTATCATTGAATTGTTAGGTCTCTACACGTGCATAGCTTAAACGATTAGTACTTGAACATTCCAAGTAATTTAGATACTGAATTCATTGCTTCAAAACCTTTCAATTGAAACATATTTAAAACTTCTACATATTTTATTAATACATCATACTTACGGACAGTTCCGGTGGTCCATTGGTTAGAGCGTCCGCCTCTGATACGATAGAGAAAGTGGGTTCGAACCCCGGTCGGAACATAACAATGACGTATAAAAATAGTACTAAATGTTGCCTCGCTATGGGCTCATTATTAAAAGGTTAGTGCTACGACTGGTTGTCCTGGCTTCAGGATAACGTAAGTAGGGGAGTCATCGTTCTACATAGCTGTGGCACTATGCCTCAGTTCAAGACATTGTTATAAACTTCCACACTACAGACATATTAACTATATGGCAGAAAAAGTGTTCAAGCTACGTTAAGATTTCCAATCATCATACACACGTACGCACGCACACACGTATGCAATCATACACACAACATTCGAAACATACTAAATTGTTTCCCTCGTTATCTTTGAAAGGATTGCCAAGATTCTATAAAGGAGCAACTCAACAACATTTGGTATTAAAACTGCAATAAATAACATATATAATCATGTTAAACACTCAAATTTACAGTAACTGTAAAGTTTGTGAAGTTGTTGCGCATTGGGCGGTTTAAAAAATCTGATTCAGTTAACGATAATCGTATTACTAGTGAATTGAAACCGAAACTATTAAGTTCATCATGGAAACTCCCAACCTTCACCCTTCTTAAGTTCATCGTGTCTTTGTTCATATATAAATGTACCTTTCATAAGCGTATAAGAGATTTAATAAAAGGGCGAGTTATGAATCCTATAATTTGCAGTAATCAATTATTTTTTCTCATATAAAATATCGTAACTTATCTGACTATGTCTCGAAACCAAGCCAGGGGAATAATAATATATCATATATGACTATGTTGACAACGGCTTAAGAAACTTGACGCACTCTTGGCACTAAAGTCACAAAAATATTGCCTTCCCCATTATATCTCTGTTTATATCATAACATAGCATCTATATACAATGCATACATATTATAAATGTAATCCCCCGCCACAACCCCCGTCTGTTTTCTGACTTGCGTTCTAATAAGGCATTCAATTTGATTTGCCCATTGCCAAGAGAACACATGATAGATTGAACTAAACGTGTAAATGGTCAGTGGTACGAGCCTATGCTCTTGAAATAACTGACAAGAGTTAAGACAACAAGCTTTGTAAAATTTAACAAAATAATTTATTTCACCTGAGAACTTAGTGAAAAATTAAGAACAAAGAACTATGGTTTTACGAATTAAATCCAAAATTAATCCCAAGAATTAAAAATAGAAGATACATTAATAAAAGTCCTGAATTATATTGTTCATTAATTTATATAATTTTGAAGGAACTTATGATATACTCCATATTTGATAGCATTCATAGATTTGATAGATTCATAAAGGCTAAAAGAAAGAAACCAGCTTTCAACGTTAAATTATCAATTTGAAAAAAATATTAATTAAAACTTGTTGAAGAATTTAGTGCTGTTTACTTATGAAGTTCACGGATATTTGTTGACTATTCTATAGGTATGCAACAGTCAGTTTTGAACTATATGACTCAATGTAAACTTATTCTAGATCCACCGCAAGCAAAATGCCATAGCCAACGCAGTCCATAAATGAGACATTGTAACAAGATCATCATGTAAGGTGAGAAAATGTCAGTTAAGTTTATCAAGTGCCTGATAAATCCAAAGATACCGATGAACATTTAGTCATCTGATAGTATAAAGGCCATAGCTTTAACTCGCCTAGACGGTCTGTCTGCATTTCTAAACCGACGTTACACCAGAACAGTATAATACAGGCCACAATGATCCCAGTGGTGTTTGCTCTCTTATTTTGCCATGCTTTGGGACAGCTTCAGCTCCCAGCACATTTCAACTGGAGCGACTGCGGTATGTTTTGATTGTTCTGTGTCTTATTATCATCCTTTTCTTTCTTTTAGAATACAATGAACGTGTCGATAGACCCTTGTGAATTTTAAAATTTGGTAACATCTAATTACATTTGCTGATCGAAGACAGTTATCATACTATGACAAATTTGCTCATTCTTCAGTGGCTTTTTTGTGAATAAAAATCATGTTTATTTTAATTTGGATGTTGTTCTAAGGTCATTGTTAATTTGATATATACTAACCAGTTAAGTGACTGTTTGCATTCCAAACTATACTTTAACCAGACTCAGAAAAAAACGTTTAGAATGGCATTCATGGAATAATTATTGCATTATTTGCTATTGACATATTTCATTTCTTTCGCTTTACTATTTATATCATACTCTCGAGATTCAAGACTGGAACTACATTCGAAAGGTAAAAATACGGAACTTTTGCCCACTTACACGTACTATAGTTATTCTTTTCGAAAACAAAGGCGACATAATTGAATTGTTTTTTCCTGTCGCATTTCGTGCCATATGCATCTTCCAAGCTAAGGAGTTGTACGAGTAGTTATAAGTGTAAGGCTAGTCATAAAGTATGACGATTTATTTCGGTTTCATTCTAATTCAATGTTACTATTATTGTGACTAGCAGTAGTAGCAAAAGCAGTAGACAAAGTAGTAGCAGTAGTATTAATTATTGTAGTTATAGAGATTATACTAGCATTAATAGCTGTAATAATAGTATATACATTTCGGTGACTATGTTGGGTTGTTTTTTGTTTTTTTGTTTGTTTGGCTTCATTCAGATTTTACAACATTTTTATGTTGGTATTTATTTAATCTTTTCTCCTGGTATCTGATTACTTAGAATGTTATTAAATTCTTTGAGTACTTTTCGCATTTTTCTTGCTCATTCCATGCGTTCCTCCTATTTCTTGTATGTTTGGTTTTTATAAAATTCAAAGAGTCATCCAGATGGGCACTAGTTTCCAATCTTTCCAGACATTATTATTATTATTATTATTATTATTATTATTATTATTATTATTATTATTATTATTATTATTATTATTATTATTATTATTTATAAAGGACCAGCGGATCGGAAGATTCATATTTCAAATCTCCGTATTGATCCGGTTCCGGTCAAGCTGCCAGGCCCCATGACTGTAACCCTTGAAGGCACTATTGACGGGACTCTACCTGTCGATGTTACGATGGATGCCAACGTCAAAAAATGGACACTTGGCCATTGGGCTACTCTTCCATGCCTGCACAATGTTGGAACTTGGTAATATTTATATAAATATCAAAATTCATTCGCACGCTTGTAACTGGGTGGGACATAAATGCTATATGTCTATGGCATAATGCACCAGTGTAAGACATCATTATAAACTGCCACACTGTAGACATCATTGTGATATGACTAAAAAATATTGTCAAAGCTACATTAAAATCATATATATATATATATATATATATATATATATATATATATATATATATATATATATATATATATATATGTGTGTGTGTGTGTGTGTGTGTGTGTGTGTATGTATGTATGCATGTATGTATGTATGTGTGTATGTGTGTTTATGTGTGTGTATGTTTGTGTTTTTTAAAGTTATTTAGATACATACTTACAACCATTCATATGTTAAGGAAAATTGTGGTATGTAATATTCTAAACTCATTGAAGTGACTTCAAAACTTCATAGTAAATTAATCTAAACATATCACATTTATCACCCAATCATAGAAAACTTTTTTCATTTCTTTTCAACACAATTACTTCTTTTTGTCTCAATATATAATATATGTGTGAATACCAACACTTTTTTGAATACATTTGCAGTTGTTTGAATATATTTGTTTTTCGTTTTTCTTTGATCACATAGTTTTGAATACATTTTCATCCATCTGTCCGAATATTAAAAATTTACAATTACAGTCTCTCTCTCTAATTCATTTTAAAGCTCATCAAACCAGCTATACATATAATATTTTTTCACATAGGTATGACAAAGTGTTTTACCCACTTTCGTACAATGGTTTAGAAGTATATATCATTGCGGAAACTGAAGAGAACCCATGATATAAATCAAGTAAATCAGTTAATGACTGTCAGCGTCTTTTCCTTTTGAGCATGAAATACACACAGTATGGGACAATGACAGCAAGAGGTCCATTCTTACAAAAAGACAACCCATCAGATTTAATTTAAAGGGGAGATAATCAATGACTGTGACAAGCAGATATGGCGGTGATGTGGGTGGATAATTAATCGGAGCTGCATTTCAAGGAAAACATCATCAACACCATAGGAATCTTGTCTTCATTGTGGAGGAGCCCAGCTCGGCCACACAAGTGCGTTGATTTGTCTCTACTAAGAATAGCGAGAAGTAAAGAACTGAATATCATTATTTTCTGCAAGCACAGTATCTAGAATAGCTTTTCCACCAACTTTCTCGGCATCTCCCTGCTGAACACCATTAGCAAATTAAGACTATATAGTCTACCCATTTATTCATTTGTATCAACGGCTCTCTACTCTCACTGAAGTTTGTCTGGAAATAAATATTGATCCCAAGTACCTTTATGAGAAAGGTTGACAGGGTTTTGATCTAAATCCCATATGTTTGTTCCCATTTTCGCTGATTACTACTGTTGCGGCTTATGTTACTCTTTAATCATTCTACATATTTTCACGCATTTCACTTACCGAAGATAATTAGAATTCATACAGGATCACTTGACCACAACTTAAAGAGGTGCACGATAAAAGAAGACCTCTGTAACGATATATTTCTCTAGTTGTCCTATATCATGTCTCGATTGTAGGTATTGCATAGCAACGAATTTTTCGGGGTAAATGCATCAGACACTCAATCAGAAAGGTTTGGGCTTGAAATCTGCTTTCCCTGGTTGGCTATCGTTTTCTGCCAAAGGAGATTAGTCACATTCTAATTGCCTGGAAACTATAAAACCTATGTATGGCTATGTGCCGTTAAAGATCATAAATTGTTATAGTCTTCATGATGTTTTCTCCCTCTTATCTTTCTTATCACTGTATTGTTAATGGAGAATGTCTTTAATCACTCTTATATTGTAGCCATTACGATAATCCTTGTGACTTTTTGAATACTTTCGCAACAAATGGATGCCCTCAACAGCTAATTAAAAACGGACTGCCTTGCACGTGCCCATTCGCTCCTGAAAGGCTCCACATGACG